CCTCCATGCCATTTGCCACACAGCTGCCAGAGAGGTTTTCCTAAAGCACAAGTCTAACTCTTTGTCTCTGTCTCGCATGTGTGTGTGTGTGTGTGTGTGTGTGTGTGTGTACACACGCTCACACACACACACACACACACACACACCAGTAAATTTCCCATTATCGCCATTAGGCTTCTCTTTCACAGTCTGGCCCCCACCTCCCTTTCTAGTCTTCACTTATGCCACTCTCCTGCCCATATTCTACCATCTGGCCAAACTGGCCTTCTTGCTGCTCCTCCTTCCTATACTCCCTCTTCGTCACTGTGCCTTTGAATAGGCATTACCCATGTCTGGAAAACACCCTCACCACCCCTTCCCTCCCCACCAAACAACACCACCACCACAAACTCTGCTTCTGTAATACCTTCTACTTGAAGCCTCTCTTGATCAGTACCAAACCAGTGCCCTCCCTCCTTATCCCCAAAATTCATCTTGTCCATATTTATATGGCATAGGAATTGCCCTCTGATTTCATTGGTACAGGGAACTCCTGGGTGAGGACTCTCTTTTCACCAGTGCAGATCAGCATTTTAATTGCAATTGAGAGTTTTAGAGAGTTGCCCAAAGCACTGAGAGGATAAGTGACTTGCCCAGGGTCATACAGCAAGTACACATCAGAGACAGGACTTGAACCCGTGTCTTCGTAGCTTTAAGGGCAACTCTTGTGTCCCTTATACCAGTGGTGTCAAACTCAAATAGAAAGGGGTCATTAACCTGTCCGTAAGGATCCCTGTGGGCTGCATAACAACTTGAAAAACCACATATTAACATTATCTATATTCTGTTCTATTGTTATTTATTTTGTTAAATATATTTCCCAATAACATTCTAATCTGGTTCAGGCTGCACCTTACAATGTAGAGACCCATAGGCCATGTATTTGGCACCTGTACTGTACCATGCTGCTTCTCAGCATGCTTATGTACACATATATTCTCACTCAGTAGAATGTTAGGGCTGGAGCCCCTTTGGTTTGGTTTTATATCCCTAACTACTAGCACAGGGTCTGGCCCATAATACTCATGTAATAAATGCTTATTGGTTGATTTAGAAATTTTGGTGATATTGGTCTATCAAATTGTTTTTTCTTGATGGCTAAAGGTCTTTATCTTTGCCACTTGCTGTCTTTGTCATTTGACATTTTAAAGCCTAAAGTTTAAATATTATGTTTCTTTGTATTTTAAGCTTGGGAGTTCTCTTTAGTAATAGTTTGTGAATTTTATCAATCTATATTTAACCCTGAGCTTTCAGTACTTCTGAGCAATTTTCACATTATTTTCTGAAATATGATTTTCAAGCATTTTAGATCATCATTATTTTTCTGATAGACCTATGATCCTTAACTTATCTCTGCACAGCCTGTCTTCACAGTCACTTAGGCTTATTCATATTTCTCCAAATGTTGATAGGTTTGCTTCTGTTCTATTAAATTTTCTTCACGGTCTGCAAGTTTTAGTTTTAAATCTGCTGTTCACCCACCTCCCCCCACCCCCATTTTTTTTGTAAGAAAAAAAGTTAAAAGAGTAGCATATTTGAAACTAAACTCATTGACTTGTTTAGGAGACATTCTCCGAGTGGTATTAATTGTCTGTGCTCTCATTTATCTTACTGATTTTCATTTTTGTGAGCTCTGATTTCTGCCTTCATTTCCATTCTCCTTTTGATTTTTATGTCTTTTATTTCCTATTTGAACCATTCTGTGGTTTCTTTTTGGTTTATTGTTTTGGGGTCTTTCATAATTTATTTGCTTTCTTTTTCATTTGGAGTTTGGGGGTTTGCCCTTCATCACTGCATAATTTTTCCTTTTTTTATTCTAACTTGTCTTTTTCTATCTTATCTGTTCACTTCCCTTATTTCTTTAAATCTCATTACTAGTTTATCTGCTGAGAGTTTCTTTTACAGCCTTCTTGCCGTGCACCCCCTTGATTCTGATCAGTGCCGTGTCTGACTCCTGTACTTTGTTTCCTCCATTGCATCACTGTCCAGGCTCCTGAGACTGCCCAGTATCTATGGCCTTCTTGGTTTATAAGGGTGGTCCCTATAGTATACAAGCTCCATGGAAAAAGGGCCACAGCTAGGTCAGTGCCTCCCCAGTCTACACTGTGGAAGTCCTTCAGGGTCTCTCCTCCATTTCATAAACATTCAGCCTTTCTTTTGTTGGGCTGGATGGGTTCAGTATTCCGTTCCTGTTAATATGAGGGATGTGGTGGGGTTCAGACCTGCTTATGGCCAGAGAAGAGCAGGATAGAAGGTAAAGCTTAAAACACAACCCTGTTGAATTGTTCATTGTAGGTGGTTAATGTCAATGGGAATACGTTGCTGTTCACTTTGCCACTTTTATTTCAGACAGTTTTACCTTGTGTGGCAGAATTCCTTTCTTTTCTTCTTGCTGCAATTATAATTACTTTTATTTAGTGTATTTTTTTTATTTTGAGGTTTTGCAGTGAGAAAGTTATAGAGGGTGTCCAAAAAATCTTAGTGCAGTTTAAAACTATTAAAGCTTCAAACATGCACTTAGACTTTTGGGACACCCTATCCAAAGACCCTCCTCCTCCTTTACTCCAACATTCTGCCATTTGAAGGTGCTCTTCCTCATGTAATGTCAGCGAATTGGTTCAGGCTGTTGCCAGTGTGCATTGTTTTTCAAAGTGGTGGGGATTAGGGACTTTGATAGAGGCAGTATCTTCTGAAACCTGAAAAAGACCTCATGTTTTTCAGGTCTAAAGGAATAGCATCAATGGTTTGGACAATATAATTAACATGATGATAAGAAGTCTTTCATTTACTACCTGTGTAACTGGTAGTAAGTTACTTAGTTTCTCTGGGCCTCATTTTCCTCATCTGTAAGGCCCTTTCTGGCTTTAATGTTCCACAGAATTAACCAGAGGTCAAGTTGCCGTCATTCTCTCTGCCTAAGAGTACAAACATCTAGATTGTAAGAAATAGCTCAAAGCTTGAGATGGGACACAGGGAATTCCTTAGATCACGGCTGTGCGTGGACACTGTGGCATCCCGAACTTGTTATAAAATAGCAATGCCTGGGCATTGAGCACACTTACGTTTAGATATTATTTCTAATAGTGTTTTAAACTTGGTTTTATATTCTGTGTTTTAAACTTGGTTTATATTCTGCAGCTATAGTTCACATTTAAATAAGTTACCCTTGAATGAGTGCAAACCTAAACCTGTTTTAAGGGTTTCCGATTTCCTACTCCATCCCATTCTGCCTTCTGTTGGTTAAGACCTATTAATGAGATGCTGGTTCTTTGAGCTCCTGAGCACTTTCGATGAAAGGAATAAAGTACACTTAATGATTACTAACAATGCTTCTTTACTCATGCCTCTATTTCCATGTTTATTATTCTTCAGTAGAATTTTCTTCTTTAAACAAAAAAATTGTAAGTGTTTAAAAGGCCATAATTTCCTTTCCCTTATAAATGAAGATGCATCTGTAATATTAGTAGATACAGTCTGAGCAGACTGCTAACCTTTTAATAGTATTCTGATTGGATGGGTTTTCTCTTTCCATAACTGGACAACCAATTATTTGACAGAGTGCTTAATAGATTTCTTTCATCATAATGAAGCCTTGCCTCATCTCTGTAAGGTAAAATCTGCTGCTAGGTCTGATGTCTGCAGTGGAGTCCTTAGACAGTGCTATTGGTTAAAATGACCAGTGTGCTCTGAGACTAATTGCACAGAGCTATGCTACAGACAAGTTTTATTGCTGCAGTTTCTTGAATTATGTTGAATAGCAGCAGCATCAGCATATTTCAGTTTCCACTCAAGTGCTCTAGCACCACGGTCATTCTTGCTGGCATCTTTTCTCTATTGATCTTTTTTATAAGGAGAAGGCTTCTTTTTTTTTTTTTGCATTGTCTGGCTATAGAGATACTGTTTCCCGTTGAACAAAAAATAGTGCGTTGGAAGTAATCTCTGTGAGAGGCAAGTGAGCAGTAGTCAGGGGTCATCTTAAAAATGGTGAATTTTTCTTGTTTCTGATTTTTTTCCTGCTGTGTACCTTTAAAGTAAAACATTTTTCTTTCATTATGTCTTTCTCTTTGAATAATGAATAAAAGAGATGGGAAAAGATTTTGTTGTTGTTAAGGTCTAATCAAATCCTGAAATAATTGTCTTCTCTGCCCACAGTAATAGGATAGGCTTTTGGGCTGGTGCATATTTTATTTCACATCATGAAGAGTGTTTCATTAAATTCTTGGTAGTGATAATAGTCCTGTAAGTTTCTCTGTTTGTCCAGTGAGTTTTGCATAAACGGGGAGGACGACTCGTTTTTGAAATGTTTTAAGCAAAACATCACTTGAACATATGGCATTGTCCACATTTGAAGAGACAGATTTTTTCCAGGATCTGCCCCAGTGGCAAGAAGCAAATATTATAATCCATGTTAATTGTTTAAAATTTAGTCTTGAGTCTAACATTCACTTTCATTCACTCTTTTGTTTATGGAATGTTTGTATTGGTGCATTTATTTCCAGCTTTTCTTTACTCAGGGTCCGAGGTCTTTAAACAGCAGAAATTTTACAATAAGTGAGTCATGCTGTAAAGATTCCTCTCTACCTTAGATACCTGTGTAGGTCCATTTGGCTAATTATTACATTAATGTATTGTTGGCAAGTAAATGTTGGAGAGAAGCTGACAGCTTGTATTTGGTCTGCTCTCACTGTGTCACAATTCATCACCCATGCTTATCTGCTTCAAAAACAGGAAATCAGAGGTGGGAGGGAAAGGCTGTATAAATCATGCTTAAAATGTCCAGTATTTTCCATTCTTGCAAGCTATGTCTTCATTTTGATTTAATGTTAAAAGAAATTGAACCATTTTCATCAGCAAACTAACTTCCTTAAAAAACTCAGGAGTGTAGTATTTTTTCTTTTTGGTGTGTTTGGATTGCAAAGTATAATATTTATTCACAATAAGTTTTTCTTTTCTTTGAGCAGTTTTACTCTGGGCACCGATCTCCTCACATTCCATATAGGTTATTGCACCTGGTATGGACGCATGCACGACATTTAGCAGGGTACGAGCAACAGGATGCACACGAGTTCCTCATTGCTGCATTAGATGTGCTGCACAGACACTGCAAAGGTAAGGACCTGGCTGGCAACTCATTCCATGTCATTCATTGCTTCTGCTAGCAGTTCAAAGAAGGGAATTTTCCTCAAGCTGGAGGAAAGGAGAATGAAGAGAGAAAGCTTGGATGAAGTATGTGACTGATTAGGAGTTTGTATGTAAAGAATATTTCCTTCCTTTGCATTTACAAACCATGAAATTGATTCAAGTCATGTTTACCTTATGACCAAGAAAAATATCTTAATTGCCTAGAGGAGAATTTCCCTTTACCAGAAGAAAAAAAGAAGGGAGAGAGAAACCTGTAGAAGTCTGAGTCAAATGGAATAATTTTTGTTACACTCTGTACTTGATATTTTAAAATTTCCTATTTAAATATGACTGATTTTTTTCTCTTTTTAGAAATAGGGCTGCTGCTTCCTGCTGCCCCCTCCTGTGCACATGCATATAAAACTAGAACGGTGCTTTGACAACACCACTTTGCCTTTTCATGTTGGTCCTAAGTCAGTTTGACTCGACAGAGTTAGATTAGCTGTACTTTTTAAGCTTTATAACTTGCTTTTATTCACATGCCAGTGTCATAGTTCACTACCCAAAGCAGAGAATCCAAGGGCTCTGGATCTTTGGGGCAGCTCTGTCTGGGTATCATAACTCGACATTGTAGACTTCTTCCTGACTCTCCCAATAAAGCAGCTGTAGTTCAGAATCAGCTTAATACTTATGGGGTTTGTAGTTTAGACATGATTTGGTCCAGCCATTTTTCTGGTGTTTAACTCAGTGAGGATAAAACTTAATTTTTATTTTAATTTTATAAAAACTTAAATTTTTAAATTATTTTTGGATTTTTTTTTTTTGGCTAGGCAATGGGGTTAACTGTGTGCCCAGGGTCACACAGCTAGTAAGTATTACATGTCTGAGGCCTGATTTGAATTCAGGTCCTCCTGAATCCAGGGCTGGTGCTCTATCCACTGCGCCACCTAGCTGCCCCTAATTATTTTTTAAACTTAATTTTTTTAAAAGCACAAATTGAAATGCTTTCTTTGTTCCACTGAGAGGCTTCCAACCCATTCCATCAACTGTTCAGAACAACAGGATCAGTTAGTAATCACCATTTACTAAGCACATGCTACTTAGCAGCCTGTTGTGCTAGGCACTGGGGAAACAAGTACAAAGAATGAAGCAATTTGAGAAAAACAAAAGCAATCCCCAGAAAGGTCAAATAAATTAGGATTAAATGGTTTTTTGCCTGCAAACACAGGAGTTTAGAGTTCTTGTCTCTTCTTCTTGCTTTAGTAGATACTGCACATCATAGCAATGTCAGGAATTAAGCTGCCAGTGTGGTTTTGGTGTCAGCGATGCCATCAGCTGCAAAGGTAGCAGCCAGGATTGTGAACTTAGCCAGATCCTTTCAGTTCATTTTCACACCAATGCAAAATGTATTTAGTGTTGATGCAGGAAATTCTGGTTTACAGTGTCAAAAGATGGAAATCGCTGGTAATTCCTGATGCGGAGTGTGAAGCTATAACTCCATAGAGGCTAATAGTGTGAAGGACAGAGCCCATTGATGTCAGGAGTTATGTGAAGGCTTGCTATTCAAGGGCAGTTCTTTCTTACTATGGGAAACCACTAAATGTAGGTGCTATGCATAAGTGCAATAAGAATAAGTCATTCCAGTGACAGTGTCATTTGTCTTATTAAGACAAAGACACAAAGTGCTTAAAATTTCTCCATTCTGCAGTCAAGCCATGCTGAAGAGGCAGGTGGCGTTCTGTATGAGGCTCACATTGGTCAAGTCTCAAGCCAAATACCATCCTCCTTTGTTCAGGAGTCTCTGTTGCTGGGCAACATTATACTTCTAATGCCCATTCAGGTTAAAGAACCTGCTATCATAGACTCTTGCTTTTTTACAAAGCATTTCAAAAATTTCAAAAATCTCTTGCATAAAACCTGCATGGCTTAATATGATAGAAGTGAGAAACATTCCTTTCTCTTCTGCAGCAAGGTGTACATCATTTCTTTGTTTCTCTGGAATGACAAAGACTACATAGAAGCATAGAGATGGATCAGTTGGCTTTTGGGGATCTTTTTTTCAAGCTTCTGTTTCTCATTCTATAATTACTACAAAATACTGAACCAAAAAAAAAAAAAGACAGCACTGACTCAAGTGTTGAGGAACAACCGAGGAAGATGATTGATAAATCATTTTAAAGCATAAGACATAAGTAATTAACCTTTAGGAATAAAGTCTTTGTGTCAAATGCTTCATTCAAGAGTTAACTGAAGGAGGAGGAAATCTATACCTAAATTAAAGCTGCTCTGATGGCAGCAAAGTATGCTGTAATCTAGATGTGGACATTAGCCCCAAACTGGGATGTTTACAATAGTTAACTCCTTGAAGAAGGTTCTGCAGATACGCTAAGCATTTCTGAAGGTATATACAAATGTAGTGATTACTACCGAGAGGGAGCTCTTAAGAAAGGTACTCCTATGGAAAGGACGGCTAAATAGAGCGCTTTGCATGTGGTATACCTTTGATTGGGAGGAAGCGTGATCTAGAAGGAGCCCTGTATTTGGAGTCAGAGGACCTGAATTCATATTTTGGCTCTGCTGCTTAATTGCTATGTTCAAAAGGACCTTAGAGGCCAAGGCCATCTGATCTAACCCCCTTATTTTACAGATGAGGAAACTGAGGCAGAGTGTCATCCAGGTAGCATCTGAGGCAAGATGTGTACTCTTTCTGACATTTCAGCACTTTGGAGGCTATCTCCAGTCGTCTTGATCTATATCTTGCCACTGGACCCAGAAGGCTCTAGAGGAGAGAGTGAGGCTAGTCACTTTGCACAGCTCTCCCTCACTGAAATCTGATTCACTTGCAAGTCATGGCATCACCTTCCTGATGTCATGGTCCTCATTGAGAATGAAGGATAAACCATACAGTAACAGCCCAGCATTCCTATGCCCTGTGCCACTGGAGAAAGGAGAAAGAACTCACAGAGACCACATGGTATAATAGGAGGAAGGAGAAATGATTTTGGAGTCAGAAGATCTGTATTAAAATGCCAGTTCACTTGCTGTGCATGCCACTCACTGATCCACAGTGTATAAGTTAACCTTTCTGCAAAATTGGAATAATAGCAATAATAGCTGTTGTTTATATAATACTTTAAGGTTCACAAAGTGCCTTACATTCATTATCTCGTTTGATGATGCTTGAGCTGCCTCCCTTGCAGAGGTATGTGTGACCCTGAAAACCAAGTTGAAAGGGACAGGAAATGTTCCTGAAAGGAAAGGAAGTAGGACTTCTGTGAGAGGGGAAATAAAGAATCTGAAATGGTAGAAATGAATTGTCAGAGCATTAGAATGTGGAAGAATGTCACCGGCGGGGGGGGGGGGGGGTCGGCGAAGGATAAGGATGAATGAACATTTGGACCTAAAAATTAGATATGTAGTTCTTTCTGAAGCTGGATGATCTGAGGAGGAGCAGTTGCTTGTCCTCCAAGAGATGATAAAATAGAAACACAGAATCTCTCAGGCAAAGGGTCATCCAATAAGGATCAAAGAGAGAAGAGTAGTGATGATTAGTAACTGCCTGCTGAGCAGTACTAAGCCAGCTACTGACCCAGTGGGACAATAGAGAGAACTGTTGTGTTCTCAGGATGTGCATTCAAAACATAACAGGACCTCCCAACACCTACCTGAAAAAAGATAACTGCTATGCTCTTCAGATAGACACAGATGAGACTGCCAAAAGGAACTTTAGTATTGCCATAGTCTTAGGCAAGAAACTAAAGACCATAGGAGCCTTGGCTGTGTTTTCCTCACTACTCCCCACTGATGACCAGAGATGGAGAAGAGAAGAGTTGATTTGGGAAGGAAATAACTGGCTAAGAAGATAGGGTTCTCATAGTGGCCTCATGGCTTGAAACATAGACACAAGAGGCTCCTCACCAGAGATGGAATACACCTAACAAGAGTCTTGCTGATCTAATCAAGTGCTCCTATCTGGAGTATTGTGTTTAGTTTGAGGCAGTATAATTTAAGGACATTGATAAACTGAAAGCATCCAGAGAAGGGCAACAGGATAGGCCTTGGGGCCACGTCATTATAAGGAGTTACTGAAGGAATTGAGTATATTTATGCTGGAGAAGAAAAGACTCTTGCCTAAAAGTAAAAAAAAAAATAAAAGATCATCAATTAAAAAAGAAAGAAAAGAAAAGACTCAGAAACATCTAAATGGGCCCTCACGCGAAAGAGGGATTCAGTGGTTCAATCTGACCCTAGAAGACAAAACTAGGAGCAATAAGTGTTTAGATTTGGTGTCATGAAAAACTTCCTAAAAATTAGAGCCATCCAAAAGTGTGATGGTTTGCCCCTGAAAATTGTGGTTTCACTCTTTTTGGAAGTCCTGAATAAGAGATAATTCAAAATTATTGAATCATATAGAGAAGAGAGATATTTTAGAAGGAAAAAAAACATTGAGCGCCTTAGGGCAAGGGTCATGGGATTTAGAACTGGAACGAGCCATAAAAATTATAGGCTGTTAAGGAGTTATTAAAGGAACTGTATATGTTTATCCTTGTGAAGAAAAAACTCAGACAAATTTGTGAAAATTAAATAGTTCTAAGAATCTTAACTGACAGAATCCAAAGTGACACAAGTTCATACTGCCTTTGAAAAATTTCTGTGAGCCAAACCATTCCCATTCACAATTTATAGTATTCCCCAAACAAAAAGCAAAATTCCAAAATAAAATAAAACATAGTTACAAATTTCACATAATAGTTTTATTCATCAAAAAGAACAATATACATTATGGAGAATTGTTTTCCTAAAACCTTTGAATCCCTGTTTGACTCACTTCCACTAAAGATTTTAACTGGTCAAAGATGAACTCAAGATATTTCTCTTACTTGAACTCGTCAGAGTGGATCTCAGTCTGAACGATATCAGGTGGGATTCCTTTATGTACCGATTATGCGTCTCTCTTTAGAACCTGGCTGGGCCTTCAATAAGAATAA